CTACTCCGGTGGACCGCAGACTGTCCCCCCACCGTGCTGGGGTCCCCCAGGTGTACCCTCCCCTGCGGCCAGCTCACCCCCTCCTTGCTGTGTCCTGCAAGTGTCCTGTGCGTGTGTGTGCATGTGTCCGTGTATGTGTGCGTGTGTGTGCATGTGTATTTGCATGCGTGCGTGTGTGCGTGTATCTGCGTGTGTGTGTGCGTGTATCTGTGTGTATGTGCATGCACGTGTCCATGCATGTATCTGTGTGTGTATGCATGTGTGCGTATGTGTGCACGTGTGTGCGTGTATGTGCATCTGTGTCCCCTTCCCACAGGCCCTCACCGCTCCCTGCCCCTGTGGGTCCTTGCTTCCTTTCCTGCCCTGTGTTTGGGACATACACCTTGTTTTGCACTTGGACTTCTTACTTAGTCTTTTTTTATTTGAGACTGAGTCTTTGCCGCCCAGGCTGGAATGCAGTGGCACAATCTCGACTCACTGCAACCTCTGTCTCCCAGGTTCAAGAGATTCTCCTGTCTCAGCCTCCTGAGTAGCTGGGATTACAGGCATGTGCCACCACAGTTGGCTAATTTTTGTATTTTTTTTAATAGAGACTGGGTTTCTCCATGTTGGTCAGGCTGGTCTCGAACTCCTGACCTCGTGATCTGCCCACCTTGGCCTCCCAAAGTGCTGGGATCACAGGTGTGAGCCACCGCGCCCGGCCTTAAATTCTTTTTAAATAGCAACTTTATTGGGATATAATTCACAGACCCTACGTTTTACCTATTTGTAACGTGTACATGTGTTCATAGGTTTTAGTATGTTCACAGTTGTACAGCCCTCCCGTCTTATTCCAGAATATTCTCAGCCAAAAGCTGTCCATGGAGAGCTCATTAACTGTCACTGCCACCCCTCCTCCAACCTCTGACAACACCTCACTCACTTTCTGGGCATTTCATAGAAGTGGGAAAATGGGGCCGGGCGCGGTGGCTCATGCCTGTAATCCCAGCACTTTGGGAGGCCGAGGAGGGCAGATCACAAGGTCAAGAGATCGAGACCATCCTGCCTAACACGGTGAAACCCTGTCTCTACTAAAAATACAAAAAAAATTAGCCGGGCGAGGTGGCGGGCGCCTGTAGTCCCAGCTACTCTGGAGGCTGAGGCAGGAGAATGGCGGGAACCCGGGAGGCGGAGCTTGCAGTGAGCCGAGATCGCACCACTGCACTCCAGCCTGGGCAACAGAGCGAGACGCCGTCTCAAAAAAAAAAAAAAAGTGGGAAAATGGGATCACACTTCCGTGTCCTCTCGCTGAACGTGACGTCCTCCAGGTGCGTCCGCGCTGTGGCCTGTGTCAAAGCCTCGTCCTTTTCATGGCTGAGTCCTGCTCCAGCGTGTGGATGGCCGGGCTGTGCTGGCCCATTCACCTGACGATGGATGCCTGGGCTGCTTCCCCCTTTTGGCTGTTGTGGATGTGCCGCTGCGAACATTTGCGTAGTTTTTGTGTGGACGGAGGTTTTCACTTCTCTTGAGTTGATGTCCAAGGGTGGGATTGTGGGGCCACAGAAACCTGGTGTGGGACGGTTTGAGGAACTGTCAGACTGTTTCCCACAGTGGCTGCAGCGTCTTACATTCCCGCTGCGGCAGACAGGGCTCCTCATTTTTCCACATCTTCACCAGCTCTTCTTTTTTTTTTTTTTTTTTTTTTTTTTGAGACGGAGTCTCGCTCTGTCGCCCGGGCTGGAGTGCAGTGGCGGATCTCAGCTCACTGCAAGCTCTACCTCCCGGGTTTCACGCCATTCTCCTGCCTCAGCCGCCGTGTAGCTGGGACTACAGTGCCCGCCACCTCGCCCGGCTAGTTTTTGTTTTTGTTTTTTTTTTTTTTTTTTAGACCCGAGTCTCGCTCTGTCGCCTGGGCTGGAGTGCAGTGGCCGGATCTCAGCTCACTGCAAGCTCTGCCTCCTGGGTTACACCCATTCTCCTGCCTCAGCCTCCCGAGTAGCTGGGACTACAGGCGCCCACCACCTCGCCCGGCTATTTTTTGTATTTTTTAGTAGAGACGGGGTTTCACTGTGTTAGCCAGGATGGACTCGATCTCCTGACCTCGTGATCCGCCCGTCTCGGCCTCCCAAAGTGCTGGGATTACAGGCTTGAGCCACTGCGCCCGGCCATTTTTGTATTTTTAGTAGAGACGGGGAGTTTCACACCGTGTTAGCCAGGACACTTTGGGAGGCCGAGACGGGCGGATCACGAGGTCAGGAGATTGAGTCCATCCTGGCTAACACGGTGAAACCCCGTCTCGGCCTCCCAAAGTGCTGGGATTACAGGCTTGAGCCACCGCGCCCGGCCCATTTTTTGTATTTTTTAGTAGAGACGGGGTTTCACCGTGTTAGCCAGGATGGTCTCGATCTCCTGACCTCGTTATCCGCCCGTCTCAGCCTCCCAAAGTGCTGGGATCACAGGCTTGAGCCACCGCGCCCGGCCCACCAGCTCTTCTTGTTGTCTGTGCTTCTTGTTTTCTGAGACAGGCTCTCACTCTGTTGCCCAGGCTGGAGTGCGGTGGTGTGATCCTCCCACCTTAGCCTCCCAAGTAGCCGGAACTATAGGTGCTGCCACCACCCCCAGCTAATTTTTGTATTTTTGTAGAGACAGGGTCTTGCTCTGTTGCCCAGGCTGGTCTCAAACTCCTGGACTCAAGCCGTCCTCCCTGTTTGGCCTCCCGAAGTGTTGAGATGAGTTGAGATGACAGGTGTGACACTGCCTGGCCTGGTTCTTATTATTGATTTGTGAGTTCATGTCTTTTAGATGTGAGGCCCTCACCACACAGATGATTCAAATCTTTCTGCCATTCTACAGGTCCAGTTTCTTGCTGGTGTCGTGTGAGGCACAAAAGTCTTGATGAAGTTCACTTGATCTGTCTTTATTTTATTTATTTTTCTCGAGACAGAGTCTTGCTGTGTCGCCCAGGCTGGAGGTCAGTGGCGTGATCTCAGCCCACTGCAACTTATGCCTCCCGGGTTCAAGCCAGTCTTCTGCCTCAGCTTCCAGAGTAGCTGGGATTACAGGTATGCACCACTACGCCTGGCTAATTTTTGTATTTTTGGTAGAGACAGGGTTTTACCATGTTGGCCAGGCTGCTGTCGAACTGCTGGCCTTAGGTGATTCGCCCTTTAGGAGGATCAACCTCGCAGAGTGCTGGGATTATAGGTGTGAGTCACTGCCTGGCTAGGAAACTTGCTGTAAAGGGCTGAGTAGTAAATTTTTCAGCTTTTACTCTTAAGTACGGTGGCTCACCCCTGCTTCGGGAGGCCAGGGTAGGAGGATCCGTTGAGCCCAGGAGTTTGAGGCCAGCCTTGGCAACGACGCGAGACCTCCTTTTTCTCTGAAAAAGAAAAGAATTAGCCAGCCGTGGTGGCACCTGTAGTCCCAGCTACTCAGGAGGCTGAGGCAGGACGATCACTTGAGCCCAGGAGTTGGAGGCTGCAGAGGTATGATGGCACCACTGTGCTCCAGCCTGGGTGACAGTGCAAGACCCCGTCTCTACAAAAAAAAATCTAGATGAGCATTTTAGGGTTTGTGGTCCAGGTGGCCTCTGTCACGGCTTCTCCACGCTGCGGTTTTAGCACTTAAGGAGCCAGACGATTTGTGACCAAATGGTTGTGGCTTTTGTTCCAAGAAAACTTCCTTTAGTGGGCTGCATTTGGCCCCTGGACTGTGGTTTGCCAGCCCCTGCTTTAGACAGTCTTTGTAGGACCCTATGAGTTCCACGTAATCAGCGAGACACCTGTCTTTTTACCTGTGCTGAAGTTCAGGAGAAAGTTCTAGAATTGAAGTTGCTGCCAACGGCACACACATTAGAAATGCTGCCAGGCTGCCCCCGGGGGTGAACCCATTGACACTGGCATCACCCCGGCCGTGTGAGGACCCCCTGCGTCCCCCGCCCCCATTGCTGGCAGCCGGTTTCATATCATGTCTTTTATCATTAGAGGGGTCTGGGCGTCTTTCTCAGATGTTCACACTGTTTGTTTTCTTCTCCTTTGCCTGTTTTACAAGTTGACTGTGTTAATGCTTTGAGAAAAGCCTCATTTCTATAAATAAAAATGACAAAATATGTATTTCAAACAGCATCAAACGATGCAAGTTGCAAAGTAAGAGACCTTCCCCCATCTCACACCCAGAAATAACTCGGAACCTTCTAAGATTCACGTGTCTGGCCCTGACTGCTGAATGACGTGTCTGCAGTGGTGGAAGCCGCGTAGCACTAAGAGCTTGAGTTCTCCTGGTGGGTCACAGGGAACCAGATCCTGGTGCTCAGAGGGAGACAGCCGCCTGGGACTTTGCTGCCTGGGCCCTACGTGCCGGGTGACCTTGAGCAGGTGGTGGTCCCGCTCTGGGTGCGTCTGTGGTGGGAGTCATGGATTATGCAACAGACCACTGCCACACTGAGAGGATTCACACCACAATGCTTTTGCTGTCAGTTTCCCAGGCTTGGCTGGGCTCAGCAGGTTGGTTCTTCGCCATCACTGCTGTTGGCCTGGATCACCTAGGCAGCGGCATCTGGCTGGTGTTGGCACACCCCGGTGGCCTCCTCTCCCAGGCCTCTCTCTGCGTCACTGCTGCTGTCCAGCCTGGCCCCAGCATCGTACTGGAGGGATCCCAAGAGAGCAGAGGCTGATGGGAGAACTCACCCCCCCGCCCCGCCCCGTGTCACTTCTGCATCATGTGATTGGCCAAAAGCAGGGCTTGAGACCTGCCCACTTTCAAGGGGAGGGAGGTCGGCCCTGCCCCCGGGACCAAAGGGATCCTGGCAGGCAGCAGGTGTCCCCATCTGTGCAGTGAGTGCTGTGAGATCGTGTGCTGGCTGATGTGTGGGGGGTGAGGGGGTGGCAATGAGCTCATCTTGTTTGATGCCTCTAATTATAAGGCAAAGAAGTGCTCATGCGTGACTGGTGTGGTTACCACCGCCGCGCTGTGAGCGGGAGGCTCTTCTTATCAGTCCGTCTTTATTTTGAGGCATCCTGAGGTCCAGTGGGTGACACAGAAGCCATTTCCCAGCCAGGAGGCTGTGGGCGGTGCTCCAGGAACCGAAGCGTCTGCTCTGCCTCTCTTGTGCTGGGGGTCGCGCCTACTGCAGAGAGAGTCATCACTGGCCAGGGTGCCAGGGGGCTCCAGCGTGGGGGAGGTGTGGGACTGCCCGGGGGCGGGGGGAAGTGGGGGCTGGCTGTGCTCTGCACAGTACTCTCCGGTTGTGCCCGGACGGATCCCAGCTCTCCAGACACGATTCTGTCCCGGGGCCTCCGCACTGTCTGTGCCTCTGCCTGGGAGGCCCCTCCATCCTTCCCCCACGCGGCTCCTCCTCACTCTCCTCCCATCCCTGCTGTGGTGACGCAGCCTGGGGCCTGACCTCCTGGAATCAGGTGTGTCCGCCCTCACATTTTTGCTGCATGATCTCAGGCAAGCGATCTGACCTCTCTGAGCCTCAGTTTCTGCCTCTGCATAATGGGAGCAGTAACAGTGCCTCCGTCACAGAGTTGTTGGGACGATTGCATGACTAAGCTGTGGGGTTCTCATGGTGCGGGCCCCACACGGCAAAGGTGGGCTAGCGGGTCTCTGGCCAGCTCCTCGCCGCGCTCCAGCTGTTCCAGGGCGGCTCAGTGGTTAGAGACGGGAAGCAGCCTGTGTCCCCAGGCTCTTGACTCCATCCAACTCCATTTCCCTCCTGAGCCAAGCCCGCTGTGCCCTGGACCCAGACCTCCGTGGGACTCCCGGGAGGAGGACGCTATCACAGGCAGCCTTACCTGCGTGCCATGCTCGTGCTCCCTGCACTGCTGCGGGAGGAAAGATGAGGTCGCTGCCCTGGGCTCATGGCCTCAGAGGATCCAAGGAGTAGAGAGAAGTAAACCAAGCGGGGGCAAGGTGACCAGGGAGGGGCCTCTCTGAGGAGGTGACGTTTGATCCAGACCTGAACAAGGTTGGGTGGGAGAGAGAGTCGTGCAGTCATAGCTCACTGCAGCCTCAAACTTCTGGGTTCAAGTGATCCTCCTGCCTCAGCCTCCCAAGTAGCTAGAAATACAGGTGTGCACCACCACTCCTGGCTAATATTTAATTTTTTTTTTTTTGTAGAGATGGGGGTGCTCACTATGTTGCCCAGGCTGGTTTCAAACTTCTGGGCTCAAGCCGTCCTCCTGCCTCAGCCTCCCAAAGGGCTAGAGCCATGTCACCTGGTCTTACATTTCTTTTTAAAGTAGAAGCAGTCTCCTTTTCTCTCCTTTTTTTTCCTTTGTTGGTAGTGTTTTGGGGGGACATGAAATTCATATTGAATTTCGTTGAAGGTTTTTCTGGATTCGTAGATGGGATCACAGGGTTTTTCAGTGTTGGCTTTGGGTAACTTCGTAGATTTCCCCAAATACCCATTTCCCGGCCTGTCAGACAGTGATCATGAATTAGGTGGCAGCTGGATCAGATGTCCATAGGCGCCTTCTGGCCACACGCCGCCGGGGAGCGGGCCGTGGGGGACAAAGGCAGAGGCGAGCGTGGCAGGCGGGCCTGAGTGATGGTGCAGCCTTTTATTTCTAGATCGGCCTGTTTTTCGAGAAACCCAGGTTTTTCTCCAAAACATTGTGATTTCTAAGGTTGACCGAACCCAAACACTACAGGGCTCAGGCGGGCCACTCCCCGGGGTGTGCTGGAGCCCAGGCGGGCCACTCGCCGAGGTGTGCTGGGAGGGGTGGGTGCCCGGGACCGCGGATGTACCGGGTGACAGTTTACGGCGACTCACCTGTCCTGGGGCTGCAGGGCCGGGCAGGTACCTGAGTTCACGTCTCTCGTCACTTCCCGGTGGGGACCGTCAGTCGGGTGCTTCCTGTCCCCAAACAGGGACGTCATTGCCTACCATGCCAGGCCTGTATGAGGTTAGAGACGATCACGCAGGAAGCCTGGCCATGTGCGTTCTCCCCAGCGGTGTCGGAATCCTTCCACCTCTCCCAGCCTCGGTTTCCCCATGTGTCAGATGAAGCCTTGAGGAGTGGCTGCCTGGTCAGGCTGGGTGCGACTCTGCGTGGGGAGAGCTTGGTTGGCACCTGGAGCAGATGTTTGCTGTTGCAGCCGTGTTGAACTTCTCACCCAAGGATTTAACCTCAGGGGCCAGCGCATTGGGGCGTCACTTAGGGGTCATCCTGCCCCCTGGGGACACTGGGCCTTGTCTGGAGACATCTGTGGTTGTTACAGCTGGGGGATGCCCTTGGCATGGAGCGGGTAGAGGCCAGGGATGCTGCTCAGCACCCTGCAGTGCCCAGGACAACCCCAGTGACCAGCCCAGAGAACAATCCAGCCCTAAGTGCTGAGGGGGGGACCGTGGTTTGCATGGGCTTTGGGGGTGCCTGGAGGCCCCCAAACTGTTCGCATGTTGGTACACTCCTATCAAGAGAGAAGAGGCCTGAGGCAGGGCCGTTTGGTGCCGCCGTGGACAGGATTGTCCATCCCAGTCCACACGAGAGAGGAGTAGAAGCCGAGAATCGGCACCAGCCTTTCAGACCTTGGCAGTTGGTGTTTACTGCGATTTACAAAAGCCTTGGTCTATGATGGAGAGAAAAGAAAGAGTGAACTCAGTCCTGCAGGCACAGACAGTGTGAGAAGCTCCAGCCTGCAGGACTGGCTGCCCTTCTGGTTAAGCCTTGACCAAGTCCCCCGACCTCCTTTAGAGACAAGCAAACTGTGAGGCCCTGGGGGATGACAAGAGTTTGAAGAAGGTTCCAGATGGTGTGTGTCACTGGGCAATACTTTTGCAACTAACGGGATCTGCATCTTCATTTTGCTTTTCTGGGACATAATTCACTGCCACAAAATTCACCCTTTGAAAGCGTCTTACTGCTTGCTTACTGCAACTGAGTAAATTCTTTTCGGCGTATTCAGAGTTGTTCAGTTGCTGCCACTAATTCTAGTACATTTCTATCACCCCGAAAGCAAACCCCGTGCCCGGTGGCTGTCACTCCCCATCCCTCCCCAGCCGCAGCACCCACGCATCCCCTCCCTGTCTCTCTGGATCAGCCTGTCCTGGGCATTTCGTAGAAATGGGGTCACACACTGCATGGCCTCTTGTGTCTGGTGTCTCTCGCTGAGCATGACGTCTTCAAGGTGCATCCGTGCTGTGGCCTGCTTCAAAGCCTCATTCCTTTTCATGGCTGAATAATCCATTATACAGATTATTAATGCTCCTTTGAATGTAAGAAATCCAAGTAAGACAAAGGGATTAAAAACTGTAACTCCTCCTGTTCCAAAGAAGTCCACAGATAGGCTGGGTGCGGTGGCTCATGTCTGTCATTGCAGCATGTTGGGAGGCCGAGGCGGGCAGATTACGAGGTCAAGAGATCGAGACCGTCCTGGCCAATATGGTGTAACCCTGTCTCTACTAAAAATACAAAAAAGCTGGGCCTGGTGGTGCGTGCCTATAGTCCCAGCTACTCGGGGGAGGCTGAGGCAAGAGAATTGCTTGAACCCGAGAGGCAGAGGTTACAGTGAGCTGAGATCTGTTTCAGTCAGCTATTGCCGTGTAACAAACCACCACCAGATAGAGGCTTCAGACAACGATGTATTTGCTTGCGATTCTGTTATTAGGGTTGGGTTCAGCTGGGTGGTTCTTCTGTAGGTCATAGCTGGGGTTAGTCCCGTGGCTGTGGTCAGCAGTGGCAGGAAATTCAAGCTTGTCCTGCACTTGCCTATCTAGCCCTCAACTGGGATGGCAGGAACAGCTGGGGCCACCCGGCTTTTCTGCAGGGAGCCGGTCTCTGAGCGTCATGGCCCAGGTTCCCAGAGACACAGTGAGAAGTGCCAGCCTTCCTCACGCCCGTGCTGTCCCTTCCCTCCCAAGTCACACCACTGCCAAGCATCGCAGCCATCTGTGGACAGCCACAGAAGCCCTTTCTGCAGTTTAGCGAGAGAAGATTCTCGCATGGCCTGCCCTTGTCCACTGGGTCCTGGGCTGAGCCTCACCAGAGCTGAGGGTTGGCCCCGCCCCCTCTTGTTCCCCAACCCAGCCTGTGTCATGGAGTGCCGCTGCCCAGCCTGGCCTTCGTGGTCAGAGGCCTTCACGGCGGTAGGCCAGAGGATGGGTTGTCCAGCGAATGAGGGAGGTGACCATGAGCTCTGGCCCGGGGTTGCTTCCTGCTTGCAGGATCACAGGACCCCATGCCTGGGCTGTCCTCATGTACTCGGGTTGCTGTGTCATGGTGAACCCGCACCTGTGCTGGGCACCCAGCAGCTACCCTCTGGGCAGCGGCCCCACCCAGGGGTGCAGGCCCCGTGTGCTACTCTGACACACTTGGGTCCCAGTGCCGCCACTTTCTCACTGGCCCTCCCTTGCTGCCCTCAGAGAGCTTTGCCAGAGTCTGTGGGGGGGCAGGTGACAGAGCAGGCCTGGGCCCCCTGTTGTGGGGATGACAACAGCCATATGCCAGGTGGTGCCATGTGCTGGGCAGTGAGGAGGGGACTCTTTGGCGCAGGGTGGCTGGGGGAGGCCTCTGAGGGGGTGATGTTTAAGCCAGGTCTGGGGTGAAGCAAAGGAACAAACCCTGAGGGAATCTTGGGACCAGCAGGCCAGGCAGAGGTTCCGCTCATGCAGAGGCTGTGACGCAGGGTGGCGCTGGCGCTGGCGTGCTGGAGGGACGGCGAGGGCCCGTGTGGCTGGAGCAGAGGGAGGAGCGGAGGGCAGGGAGGGGGCCACGCACGGTCTGGTGGGGTAACAGGGCCTGGTCTTTACCCTGCAGGGCTGTAGTGGGGCCTGGGGAGACCGTTGTCTGCAGTGGGGACGGGGTGGGTGGGCCCCCTTTCCCAGAACCCCTCCCCTGCCCTGAGCTCTCCCTGGCCCCCCTGTCCCCGGCTTCCTCCCCCTGGACCTTCCAGGGCGCTGCCCACTCTCCCCTGACCCTCACTGCCTCCAGGGCTGGGACTTCCTCCTCCCAGCCACGGGGGCCTGGACTTCGGTCATGCAGGGATGAGGCCACCACTGTGCCTGTCCCACCTGCTGTCGCGGGACCCTGCAGGTGCCCACGTGGGTCGAGGTGCCTTCTACCCACCCTTGAGCTTGCCCTCACTGGGCCTTCTGCCATGCGGCGCTCTGTCAGTGAGCCTAGCTTGCGCCCTGTTTCCTCTCACTGCAATGCCTCCCTTCCTCCGGCCACCTGTCCAGGCCTCTCCATCCCCATTCTTACTCTGGGTCTTCCTGTGGAGCCAGCCTGACAGTCCGCCTCCTCCCGCAGTTTAGTCATTCGCTGCCTCAGTGTCCACGTCAGACAGATGTGGAGAGGAAGCTCTGGCAGAGGCCTGTGTGCAGAGAGAAGAGGAACAGGTATCTGTCAGTCCATGAGTCAGTCAACAAACGCCCAGGCTGTCAGCCCAGGGCAGACCCCATCCTGAGGGAGTCCCCGGGGTCACCAGGAGGGACCAGGCTGGTCTGCAGGATGGGGTGGCGTCGGTGGGGTGCAAAGGTGGCTGGTGTGGGACACGGCGTCCAGGGGGCACGGCAGGGCCAGGGCAGAGACCGGGCACGGGCCAGGGAACAGCGGGTGCAGAGGCGGCCATGTGTCCCCGTGGAGAACGGCAGTGCCTCGAGGGCTCGAGCTGGCTTCAGCCACACTTTACAGGCAGAGACTGAGGCTTGGAGAGAAGCCCCGGGCACACAGGGAGGTGGGGTGGCCGATGAGGTCACCGTGCAGCCAGCGATCAGAGCCGTGTGCCGCAGGCCCGGGTCGCACTGCCACCAGGTCCTTGATGGGGCCGGGAGAGAGGGGCCCCAGCGGCAGAGCCCCCGCCTCGGGCCCTCAGTCTGGCCAGAGGAAACTGCTCAGAGGGGCCACCTCCCGGCTCTGCGGCGCGGCGCGCCTCTCCTCCCCCGACTATTTTTAAAACCTAATTTCCTCGAAAACGGGGTGGTTCATTCTGCAGATAATTAGTCACGTCTCAGGCTGAGCAGAGCTCGATGTCATGACAGCCCCTCATGGGGGTCACGGCAGGCTCCGTGCCGGAGTGGGCCTCGTGGCAAGGATTGAGTGAAAATGGTGCTTACCTGCCCACTCGGCCGGGCGGTGGTTGCAAGGCTCTGCTTCCTCCCCTGTCCCCTCTCCTCCACAGGACACTCGGCTCTGGTCTCCCCTTGCTGTCCCTGCCTGCCTGCCCTGGGAGCCCCACATTTTCCCTGGGGTCCCCCAACCGAGTGCATCCCCTCCCCGTCCTGCTCCACCCCCGCCTTGGTGCTTCGGCCCCGGCCAGTCCCTTAACCTACAGGCCCCCAGTGCAGGGCCGTTCCCAGCAGGGCCCGAGCTGGCCGCCCCTCTCCTCTCCCCCTTGTCAGCCAGCTCAGGCGAGTTGGGCAGGTGAAGACGTGGAACCAGGGAGGGAAACTGAGGCAGGGGCCTAGACCCAAGGCAGGTGACCCTGAGGTGCCTGGTGAGGTCAGCAGAGCCGGGTCTGGAGGGCCTCACTGTGTCCACTCGGTCCCGGGGCAGTAGGGAGCCTGGGAGAGTCCGGGCAGGGGTGGACCCGAGGGCTGTGACCTCTCAGCCTCGGGGCCACTGAGGAAAACAGCTGAGTCACCCACGTGGGTGTGAGGGAGCCCCAGAGGGGCGGTTTCGGGAGTAGAGTCAGGACTGTGGGCAGGGAGGCCCCAGACAGGCCGAGCAGGGGGACGCCCAGGCCCCCGATGAGGTCTGGAATGTCCCGCCCCGGCCCACCACTGGCTTCCTGCCCTCTCTTCTTTTCCTTCCCCCACACCCTGGACGTAAAACCGTGAATTGTTCTGCTCCAGGGCGCCAACCCAAACATCACGTCAGCATCCAGCACCTTCCGCCCCCCGCAGCCCAGAGCAGGCCCCGTGTGGCCTGTCAGAGACCTGGGGCCACCAGCCTTGTCCTCTGGAAGGACAGAGGAGCAGCCCCGTCCTTCCCTGCACCAGCGCAGGCAGCGGAATCCTGAGTCACCTCCCTCCCTCCATCCCCGCCCCCACCCCTGCAGTGAGCACCGGGTCCGGTCCGTCCCCCAGTTCCTTCCAGGGCCCGCCCGGTGCCCACCCAGCCCCGCAGGGCGCCCAGGTGGCCCGAGGGGAGGACCCTTCCGCTGTTCTGGCTGCCTCGAGAAGTACGCCCCTCCCGTGCAGGGCTGGGGTCCTCACTGGAGGGCCACGCCCCATGTGAGGTCCTGTGCTGCCCAGACAAAGTCTCTGGGACGGGGGGGCTTGGAGCAGCAAGCCTGGAACAGGCATTTGTTCTGGCTCTGCTCTGGAGGCCAGAGGCCCGAGGTCCAGGAGTGGGCAGGGCTGCACCCTCCCGACCCACCGTGGAGAAGCTTCACGCCCCTCTGCTCCTCGTGCCTCCGGGCATCCTTGGCGTCTCTGGGCCTGCAGGAGCGGTGCCCTCCCCGCCTCCACCCCACATGGCATCTTGGCCTCTCCGAGCGGCTTCTCTTATAAGGACAGCAGCGGATCCAGGGCCCACCCTACTCCGGCACGACCTCATCTTACCCAATGACATCAGCAGAGACTGTCTTTCCAAATAAGGTTGCAGGCTGAGGTTCTTGGAAGGACGTGAACGTCGGGGGGATACTGTCCAACCCCGCACCCCCAGGCAGGCATGGGGACTGATCACGACAACAGGGCCCCACCAGCGTCTCGGATGCGGCCCCCTCCCCGGCCTGCCCTGAGCCTCCTGACCCCGGCCCCTTCCCCGGCCTGCCGCTGCCCCAGGCTCCTGACCCCAGCAAAGTTTTCCACCTCGTGCTTTCGCCGGGTCCCTGGCGGTTCTGACCGGGCAGCAGAGCAAAGTCGTGCCTTCAGTGCCTTCAGCGCCTGCGGTGGACGTGTTTTTAGACGGCAGGGTGGTCGCCGGGCGCGGCCTCTAGATGGAACACATGTGGGTCTCCCGTGCACCCACTGAGAGCAGCGCAGGGGGCCGAGGGGCACTGGCAGGGCTGATAGGGTGGGGCGTCGATGACCCAGGCCCGGGTTTGACTCTCCTTCGGTGTGACCTTGGGTGGCTTCACCTCTCCCTCTGACAGTCTCTTTCTGTGTCTTAAAACAGAGGGGCTCCCTCCCTCTGCGCTCTTTGCTGGCTTTGTGAGGCCTTGGTCCAGAAAGACTTCTTGTGTCGGGAAATTCTCCTCTGTCCCCTCTCGCCAGTCCACCCCTAGCCGGGTCCCCATCCCCGACGGTCCCCATCTGCACCCCGGACTCCACAGCCACCTCCTCACCGCCTGCACCTCCCTGAACCTCGCTCAGTTGGCCCCTCACATGTCCTGGCCTCCCCTGCTCACCTCAGCCGGCCTGGGAGCCAGGGCCAGACCAGTTCCAATGCACTGCTGCCCAGCCCAGAGCAGCGAGGCAGCCAGAGGGCCGAGCCCCACGGAGCAGGGCACGTGCCACACCCTCCTGCCCGCATCCCGGCGCAGCCCGAGCGTCTCCACGGGCTCTCAATAATCCCCTTTGAGGGCCTGCCTCAGCACCTCCAGCTGCAGGACCTTGGCCAGCCCTCCCTTCCCCGACCCTCAGCCTGTTCCTCTAGGACTGGGGAATGGAGTGAGAAGGTACAGGCAGTGCTGGGGCGGAGTCGGCCCTGCCCCACAGCCCCTGTGTGATTCAAGACACATTTGTCTCCATGCCCTGGGCCCCGGGTGGTGCCAGCGTTGGAATCCAACAGGGAGGCGCTCCCCTTAGGCAGCTGCCTCTGCGTGAGCCTGGAGAACGCTGCTGTGATCCGTGCAGCAGCGCGGCCGCCTCAGCCACCGTGTGACCTTTGCGCCGCGGCTCCCTCCGCCTGGATCCCTCCCGCTCTCCCGGCATCCTTGTTCGGCACTGAGCTCAGACACGACCAGCCCAGGGAAGCCTCCCTTGCTGATCCGCACCCCACCTGTCACCCCACATCAAACACCTAGCCCTGTGCCCACCTCTGTGGACCGTGAGCCCCTTGAGGGCGAGGCCAGGTCTGCCCAGGGCCCGCGTAGTGGACGCCAGTGCATGCGCTCCCTGCAGTCACCGACACCACTTCCCACCTCAGGGCTCCCGGGCCAGGAGTCCAGCCCCAGAACAGGGCCTTACCGGGCTAGAGTCAAGCTGTGGGCAGGGCTGGGCCCACCAGAGGCTGCAGAGGAGAATCCGTTTCCTGCCTTTCCCAGCGTCTAGAGGCGCCCACACCTGTCGGCTCAGGTTCCTTCCTCCCACCTCACAGCCGCGGCACAGCCTCTTCCCGTCTCTCTCTGACTCACCCGCCCGCCTCCTCTCGTGAGGACCCTGTGAGGACATCGGACTCCCAAGTCCCCCAGGATCATCTCCCGTCGGTCTCAGGGCCCGTAATCACAGCTGTAGAGTCCGTTCCCATTCTCCAGATGAGGACCCCAGGGCCCCGCTGCTGGGAGCCAGGGTTGCGAATGTGGTCCTGGGTCCTAGGAGCCGAGTCTCTCCTGTTCCCCTCGTCCCAGCCTCTTCGTGTAGAGGGAGCTTTGGCTCAACCCAGCAGGCCCCTGTCATCATCTCTGGAGCCAAACCCAGCAGGCCCCTCTCGTCTCTCGTCCTCTCTGGAGCTGCGGCCCAGGCCCTGCCGCAGGCGCTGACCGGAGGCTGTGGGCCCAGGACCCAGGGCAGGGCTGGGGGTCTCCTCGCAGGCTCCCTTATCCTTCCACAAACCTCACCCTGGAGAGGGATGGGGAGGGCGCCAGCCCTAGGGACCCCTGGCCAACTCCCACTGACTGCAGCTGCTTGGGTGCTGCTGGGTGCTCCCCACAACTCCAGCCTGCCCTCGCCCCAGCAGGGGCCTGCACCCCTCACTCCCCACGCTGGCACCTGATTTCCCCATGCCCGAGCCTCTCCTGGCACCTGCCTCTGGGGAAGCGGGGCTTGGTCAGTTCAGACCTGCTCGGCCGGTGACTGCCCAGAACCTGATGTCTGGGCGTGAAGGGGGTCAAGAGCCGGGGGAGGTTTGCTCCCCACTTCCCCCCCCTCCTCCAGGGAGGTCCAAGCCCCAGGCCCTTCATGGTGGGTCCAAGCCTGGGTGTCACCGGCTGCCCACCTCCCTGAAGCTGCAAAGCCTCTGCCCTGCTCTAGGCTCCAGTGACCGCCAACCAGGGTGACCATGGCAGGTCTCAGCGGCCCCCGCCCGCATCACATCCTCCCAGCACACTCAGTCCATGTCTTCATGTGTGTGTAGCCTTGAGACAGGCCCCACGCGGAGTTACACACGCCAGGCCGGGGGGGCCAGGGGGTGGGCCGGGGGCTGGGCCCAGGGCTCCCTGGGGGTCCCCAGTTTCCTGTCTGATACCGGTTTGTCTCTTCTGCAGGTTTGGCTCAGAAGAAGGCGGCCCCAACAGAGGTAAGTGTCTGGAGGGGACGAAGGGCCTGGGGTCCCCACCCTGACCGCTTCCTCCCTACCCGCGGAGAAGCTGTGTGGCCTGAGGCAGCTCACCGCACCTTTCTGGGCCCCAGATGCCATCCAGTGTCCACAGGCAGGATGAACGTGAGGTCTGTGCCAGCCGCGTCTTGAGAGGTCAGGGTGAAATTCTGTGAGGGAGGAGCCGCACCCCCAGTGGCAGGGGTGCCTGGTCAGGGCTGCAGGGGCAGGAAGGGCTTCTCTGGGTTCCAGGCCAGGTGGAGCCAGGACTCTGGGGGGTGGGCGGTGGGGAGAGAGCAGCTCTCACAGGGGCACTGGGGGCAGGAATGGAAGACCCGGCTGGAGGGTCAGATGCTGCCCAGAGGGCGATGCCCGAGGCTACCAGCTCCACCCATACCATCGGTGTCTGAGCCACACAGGCGTAGTGCATAGGCTGTGTGCAGCCCACGTGTGTGCGCGCGCATGTGCGCATTTGCCTGTGTGCGTTTGCCTGTGTGCACGTGTGTTTGCCGGTGTGCATGTTTGCCTGTGTGCGCGTGTGTTTGCGGGTGTGCATGTTTGCTTGTGTGTGCGTGTGCACGTGTGTTTGCCTATATGCACGTGTTTGCCTGTGTGCACGTGTGTTTACCTGTGTGCGTGTTTGCCTGTGTGCGCATGTGCACGTGTGTTTGCCTGTGTGCATGTTTGCCTGTGTGTGCGTGTGCACATTTGTGTGCATGTTTGCCTGTGTGCGCGTGTGCACGTGTACCTCAGGTGATCCGGGCTCGGCCTCCCAAAGTGGGTGGAATTACAGGCGCGAGCCACCGCGCCTCAAAGTAGATCCATGCTACTGCCGCGCGCGAGTTCCTGTTACTGGCACGTGCTGTTTAGATCCATGTTATTGGTATTGTGCTGTACATCCATATTATTGGCATGTGACGGCGATCCATATTATTGGGATGTGTTGTGTAGTTCCATGTCATTGATATGTGTTGTGCACAGCAATGTTATTGATGCTTATCGTGCCCACAATCTTTCTTACCTAACACGATGGAATGGCGAGCTCCGGCGCTGTCCTCCCACCCCTGGGCGAGGGGCACTCGAGGCGCTCCTGGTCATGGCTTGCACGCCGGCCCCGCCCCGAGTCCCATTGGCTGCGCGCCGTCCGCGGCGTCGCACGCACGCAGGTCTTCGCCTCATCCGCCCTGGCACGGCCCGGCGCGCCTCCGCCGGCGGCGCTTGTTGTTCGGCGGCGGCGGTTGCAGCTCGGGTACCTCGGCGTTTCGCCGCCGTCCGCACGCGGCCATGGAGCTGGAGGTACCGGACGAGGCGGAGAGCGCCGAGGCGGGGCTGTGCCTCGGAGGCGGCGTGGGCGGCGGAGAGCGGGCGGCGGCAAGGTAACGGCTGGCTCTCTGGGCTAGTGGCCCGCTGGGCTCGTCCGAGCGCTGAGGGGTCGCGGGGCTGTGGGGCCGGGACTGGGGCCGACGGTCGCTGCGGGGTCCCCGCTGGTTCCGGTAGCCTGGGGCGGGGCAGCCTCCTGGAGCCCCGGGGAGGATGGGCTGGGGCCGCGCCGGGAAGTGGGAGGCCTGAGGGGTGCCACCTCCCACCGCTCCAGGGCCGGGGCCCCAGGCGCTGGGGACCCCCTGTTCTGCCGGCCTTCTGCTCGATCCACTCCCTGGGGCTGCCTCATGTGTGAGTGGCGGCTGCTTGGGTGGAGAAGGCGGGGGTCTCTGAGGCCGTGCGTGTCCACCTCGTGATGTCACCTCCCTTTCTGTAAGTCCCCAGACCTGGGTCCGGGTGCGCTGACCTTCTCACCTTCCCAAGTGTCAGCTTTACTCTCGCTACAAATGAGGGAGGAAAAGGGTGAAAACATTTCAAGATGCTCTCCACCGCCCCCACAGTACACAGGGTTAGTCCCTCTCCTCTCCCTGAGCCTTCGGGACACACTTGGTGGGGCTGCGGGCTGGGCGGGGGGGCGCGGTTGTCTCATGCTCCCTTTTGAATCTTCGCCCCTCCAGCCGGGTAGGTGCGGGCAGCTGGGCCTGCCTCTTCTGTGACGGTGTGCAGAGCCCAG